AAAATATTACTATATTTTTTAAAAAGTGAGAACAATAATATTTTTCCAGAATTGCACAATATGCCACTTAGTGTGCTTATGTATGCGTGCATATATAAAATATATGTATTGGTTTTGCTGGAATCCAGGCAAGAATATTAGAGGAAAACAAAGGCAGCAGCATATGTTTTTAAAGTCAGGATTAAACAAATGTAGTTGTGTATAGCTGATCTCTTATTTGTTTAAAGTTTTAGAACAGATACTTAAAGGCACTCCTTGAAAATAGCTGGGAGTTTTTTATCAAATATGTATTTCCGTGCATCATTTGAATGTCAATACTTTAGCATCTGTAGCTGAACATAAAAATGAGAAGAAAAAAATTAAACTACCCTTATTTCCTTTTTGCAAAACTGATTTGAAACATGAAGCTTTACAAAAATACTCTTAATGCCCTGCAAAAAGGAGGAAAGCTTGAAGAAACTTATTTTCAGGAGTCACTGCTTTTCAAAATATAATTCATATTGTAAAACTGTTATGCTTACACTTTTTCTTTGTATAAAGCTTGCTAATATAAATTATAAATTGTATTCTTTTAAATCTGATTTAGGCTTGTATTGCAAGGAATTGCTATCCTTCCCCTCTGAATTACTATAATTTCCCTAAGTCATGCTGTACATCAGTGAATGAAGTGATCTGCCATGGAATTCCTGATAGGAGACCTTTGCAGGAAGGAGATATTGTTAACGGTAAGGGTTAAGAAAATGTGTGTGTATGTGTAGCCATTTGGCCAAAGAGCCTGAAACAGGATTTCAGAATCATAGCAAAACTTAGAGGAAAAAAATAAGCTTGGAAGAGACCACCGGTGAACATCTAGTCCAACTTTCTCCCCAAGCAGGGCAAAGTAACATTTTGCTACTGGGCTGTCCCCCTGTGAGCAGTTTCTTGACCAACACTGATCTCTGAGCAAACTGGCATATTTTTGTTCCCCCTTTCCAACCTTATTCCCACCTATGTGGTTAATGCTCAGTAAGAAACTCTGCATTTTTGGCTGCAAACGATTTGTGCAGAGGTGTAGCTTACTGTTCTAACCATGTAGCGAAATTGCTGAAGTTAAAAGATGGGTTTTTACCCATCATTACCTAGTGACTTTAATTTTGCTCTGTTGGCGCTGGAATTAATTTTATGGACATACTTTAACCAGGTAAATCACCATGGAGTCAAAAATATGTTTTACCCATAAAACCAGTCCTAAACAGTAAATGGTCCATGGCAATGTTACATTGTGTGGGCTTTTTTGGTTTTCGTCAAGACATTGAACAATAAAACACTGTCTTATTTACTAATGCCATAAAATATACAGGATAACTACTACAGAACTAGTACTGTTGGAAAAGCTTTCACATCTGCAGTTCTTCCAAAGTAATTTCATGACTTCAGAATTATAATACTACATTTTTACATGTTTTTATTGTCCTTTTTGCAAATCAAGAGACAAAAAGGGAGATAAACAGTGGTAGTATTATGGTATGTCTGGTATTTGTTGCAGTGGATATTACTGTCTATCGTAATGGTTACCATGGAGATCTGAATGAGACATTTTATGTTGGAGAAGTTGATGAGGGTGCGAGGAGACTTGTCCAAACAACTTACGAGTGCCTAATGCAAGCCATCGATGCAGGTAAAGCGTTTTGCTGAGAACTGCTTTGAGCGTTTTGATCAAAGTGTTATCCTTTTGGTCTCAAACATATTGCTATTACAAACATAATTGCCTATATTTGCCATTACCTGGGAATTACTTACATGGTAGAACTCTTCTTACTCTATGTCACTAGTAGACGATGTATGTTGTTTGATACAGTGATTCTTCAAACACTGCTGGGGTTGTTGCAATTCTTATTGTAAGCAGATGTTCACAAGGAAAATGTAATTGCTGAGGTGATCCACATAACATATTTAAATAGAAACAGCTCCCTGGACAATTAGTAAGATAAATAAGACAATCCTGGATCTGAATTGTTCATAGAGTGTGAAGAACAAAGTGTGTATTGGAAACAAAAGAAGGGCTTGCTATTTTTTTTTTGCTAATTTGAATGCTAATGTTAAATGAAGTAAAACACTGGTCGAAGACTTGAAAACACACTTCTCCCCGCTACCATCCTCCACCCCCGATTTGATGTTTATTTCCATCTAAAGCTAATTAGGAGCTCATGATTTTAAATTATGTGAATGTGTCAGGGAAGCCATCCATCTCTTTCAGCACCTGCAGGGCTTTAATTACATTGTTCAGGTATAGCACAGATAGCTTCAGTGAGAAAAAAAAAAAATCCATGGAACTGATACATCATGTGCCTTCCATGTGATCCAAAAAATACTGTAGGACCAAGCTGTGAAGAATATAGATTACCTATTTATGCAGGTTTGCTATTCTGAAATGAACACTTTGTCTTTCAGAGCTAAATCAAAGTAATGTTTATCTTTGTCCTTGTGCTTTATTTTTATAGCAGGTTTGCTATATATATAATATCCTGCTTTAGATATGTAAGCTACAACAATTATTCATCTTTATGTTCATTATAAAGAGATTTAAATTCTCAGTATAACTTTTCTTGCAGCTTTTTGGGTGTTGTAGCAGTTTTTAATGGGTTTTAGACATACCGTGATAATAAGGATTTCAGCTGCAGGTTTCTCGGCTGCCACAAGGCAGTATCAATTCCATGTTTACACCACCTTAAATTCTGGGTTTTTGACCAGCAGAGTGTTCACTATGAGAGAAAATTGAGAGAAAGAGAAGGAGGGGGTCTCCTTGGTGCACTGAGATGAGTTGCTTGGATTTGTGAAGCCTGAAGGAGCTGATCTACATTACCTCACAACAACTTAGCACAAAGCAAATAAGCTTAGAGACACTCTTTTTTTTTTTTTGCCTTTGTGTCCCTCATGTGTAATCATTTTTCCTATGTGTGTGCTTGTCACATAGTGGTGGGGGAAAGAACTCCATATTAAAATTCAGTTCATACATTTGTCAGAAGCAGCACTGGTGCTGTAGTTATGAAAGGCTGCCGAGTACTCTGGTCATCTCGGTAGTTTTTAACTCCAAAGTCAACATTCTTTTAATATATGAGCACTCACTCCCATGAGAGGAAGAAAAGAAATGTTTTCGTGACGGAGTTTCCTTCTTTCTCTCTCTTTTTCTTTTCTTTTTCTTTTTTTTCTCCTATGAGCCTGTGTCCTCCCTATTCGTCAGATCATTTAGATACTTGGTGGATTAAGAGATTGCGGGGGAGGGAGAGTGCTATATGCAAAAACATATAGAAGCCACCACTGTTACAGAGATTCTGTTTGCTGAATGGTGCGAGATACTTGAAAGAAGCCTGTATAAATTTGTATCTGTCTATATTATTTTCATTTTTCAGTAAAACCTGGTGTTCGGTATAGAGAACTTGGAAACATTATTCAGAAACATGCTCAAGCAAATGGATTTTCAGTGGTTCGGAGCTACTGTGGGCATGGAATCCATAAACTTTTCCATACAGCCCCCAATGTGCCACATTATGCCAGTGAGTATTTGCTTTGTGTTGTCTTGTAGACAGGACATGGTTTGCAATAAATGCACCCAGTCTGCTTGCTCGTATTCTAAAAAAAGTAGCATTTTGCTTGACAGCCACCAAGTTGGCATTTTTACACTTACAGAATATATATGTATGTTCTACATATAATAAATATATTTATATGTCTTTATACTCCAGATGATTTTTTTGTTGATTTTTTTGGTATTACAAGTCGTCGGGAATTCTTATATTACACTTGTTCACTGTTTTTGTAGAACTGGAATTGAACAATTCACTTGAATACATTTTACAAGAACTCCTTGAATACATTTTACAAGATTGGAGAGGGGGAAAAGGAAAGAAGGAAAAGAAATTTGAATGTGTGATTGGGCCTTTTCTTAAGGGTTTTTCTGGCTTTACATAATTGTGCTATATTCTTGTAGGAGGAGTCATTCATTTCCTACGATAGGATGGCTTTTTCTAACTTACTGCTTTTCTTGCAGAAAACAAGGCAGTTGGAGTAATGAAGCCAGGACATGTATTTACAATCGAACCAATGATCTGCGAAGGTGAGCAACTGATATTCCCAAAAGTGATCAACTAAATTTACCCTGCTTGTTATTACAGTAAAATAGTTACTCTTCTTTAATGTACTATAAAGGTGTACTGGAAGGGTAATACTGATCTTGCCTAGTATAGTTGGCTGATTTACTCCCTTCCCACCACCTCGCTTGGGTGAATCGCATCTCATATTTAAATTGTGATGGACTATTTTTATATTTTCAGGTGGTTGGCAAGATGAAACGTGGCCTGATGGCTGGACTGCAGTAACAAGAGATGGAAAACGATCTGCCCAGTTTGAACACACTCTGCTCGTCACCGATACAGGCTGTGAGATCCTAACCCGGCGGCTGGATAGCTTTCGTCCACATTTCATGTCCCAGTGATAGTCTAGACTGAGTGGGTGGATCTGAAAGAGATATATTTTTTTTTGTCTCTGTACTATGCAGTTTATTAAGAGTACAGAACAGAGGGGGAGTTCATCATTTATTTTGTTCTCACTGACTGTAGTTAAAAGAGGAATATCTTGAAGAACCTGACCCAATGTCTGGAAAAGCAGAGAAGGATTTAAAATATTTTCTGCTTTCCTCCTACCTACAACATGTACTATATTTTTCTTTTTCTTTTTTTTCTTCAATTACTTCTTTAGTATCTTTCTTCCAATTAGATCTGCAGTTGCTTCTGTTGCTGCCACAATACTAGCTACAAAAACATGGGGTTACCTTTCCCACTAGGACTTGATATTTTGGGATCCAGGTTTTTTCACTACTTTAGTGTGCTCTGTCTCTCTTGGTGCCCAAGTGGCGCCTGAATTTTAAGTGTTCCTAGTTCCAAAGATCTGCTCTTGCTTCTGCAAATACTGTTGTAATGGGCTGGGTCTTGTTTATCAGTTGAGAAGAGTTGTGGGGAAGAAGGAGAGATGCATGTTGCCAGGAATAGTTTGCCCTTACGTTTAATCTGTCCCATTTCTCTGCTGATTGCCTCTGTTATAATTGTGACTGTTGGTGACACACTGTGTTAATGGCGGGACTTACTTTTATTGCTGGAGAATGATAGTACCAACTCCCTGCGGGGAAAATTGCTAAATTCTGTCTTAAGTGCAGCTCCCTGGAATGAGCAGTTTCTCTGCTGAGCTGCGTTTGGCAATCTCTTGCTCAGAAAGCTCAGTGAAACTGCTATATCTGACTTGAGAAAGGAATTACACAAGAAACTGAAAACTCACCTATGCCGTGGGATCCCTGGGCGAGTTAGCTATGGGGCATTTTCTAAAGGGGCACCCACAGTAGCTGGGAGGATTGGATTTGCAAGACTTCCAGTGAGATAAGTATGCATCTCAGGAAAAGTTTGAGTGTGAGAACAGGAAGCATCTTCATTTTTTTTAAACAGTTATTTTCCTCAAACAGTTGAATGAGTTTCATGGCTTAGGGGGACAGCTGTGAAAACTGATTGTTTCCCTCAGACTGGGTATAGGGTGGGCCACAACAGAACACATACCACTTTCTTATCTGTTAATGTGTCATGCTAAGCTGGAAACGGTCACCTTAAGGATTGCAGACTGATTAAGCCTCTGTCTTCTTCCTACCCTTCTTTTCCCCCCATCCACTTCCTTTCCAAAAACCTTTGTTTTGTCTGCAAGGGAGTCTATTTTTTTTTCTTTTTTTGTGAGCTGTAATTAAAATTATTTCAGACCCCACAGCAGACTTCAGGTCTCACACCACTGTAACACAAGAAATAGCTGAACCAATGCAGACATATTAAATCATGCAATCATGGGCATAAAACACACCTTTTACAAGGTATATGGTGAATCTGTCACATTAGACCTAACCTTTTGAGCACTGCATGCCCTTGGCCCCCCATGGCACTGCAGAATCTGAATGGGGGCAAGGGGTTAGTGCTTCACAGAACTGGACTTGCTCTGTGTACTACCAAATACCAAACCTACCAGAAAATGTCTTCTCTCCCCTGAGTGCCTCACTCTGCTGTAAGAATATCAGTGCAGTAACATTTTCATTACCTTTATATTTTAATTATGCAGTAAAGTGACCTGAAATGATGCATATGGAGTGTGTGCGTATGCATGCACATGTGTGTGTATGCATGCATTTGGGTATGTATGCATGTGTGTGTGGGTGTAGGTTTTAACTAAACAGACTGTAGTACCTGAGGTTTGCCCACCATATCACTCACCTGAATGGTTACAACTGTCTTGCATTTTCTGTGTGTGTGTGTGTGTGTGTGTGTGTGAGATGGGAGGGCTTCATTTTTTCATCTATAAAATAAAAGTTGCAGCTGCTTTTAATGGAAATTACATTTTTGTGATTCAAAAACAGACACAGTGTTCTCAATTATAGCTGGGTTTGCTTGCACTAATGCAAACCCTACTGATAGATGCATGCAGCCAGTTAAAAATCATGCTTAAACTTGTGCATGCATCACTTGAATGCTTGTCTTTGCACAAAGACAACCACATTGAGCACTGCAGGTGCTAAGCTCTCATACTGTGCATTTCTGCTTATAAACTGAAATCACAGTAACACAGAATCACAGAATCATAGAACTGTTAAGTTGGAAAGGACCTCTAGGGGTCATCTAGTCCAACCCCCTGCACACGCAGGGTCACCTAGAGCACATGGCACAGGACTGCGTCCAAGCG